AGGGCAATGAAGGTCATGAAGAAAACACTGGCTAAAACAAAACCATTGTAGGCATCAATAAGGTACCATTGTTCTCTTAAACCCATGTCGCATGTAAGGTTTACAAGCATACAGACGACCTGAAGGACGTCTGAGATTAGAAGGTTGATGATGAAGACTGGAACAACACGTTCACTTCGTATCTGGAAAAAAAATAAGGATGATTAAAAACAAAGGATTTGATCAAATTTACTGCAAGGCAATGTGACCAGATCGTTAGAAACAAAGTTTGATGAGATTTTGAGCTACGAAGGAAAAAAAAAAGAAAAAAAGTGACCATGTTTTAAAATAAGTAGTGATGGTTATAGTTTCATTTATTTTACGTATGTATACCTGTTCTTCAATCAACAAAAATCATGGCTGAGGACAGGAAGGTCTCTCCTCAATGTTGTTATCATTTTTTTTTCATTTAAGGTTTTTTTATTTATTTTTCTTTTATAACACAGTTACAAACAGATGACATTCAACAACAAAAACATAAACATCTGCAACAACACAAAACATGACAGTACTTATCAGTTACCTATTCATAAATATAGCAATGCACATATTCATACTCACAGCATACATCACACCCCAAATCCCTTAAGAATTTTTACCAACATTGTAGTCAAAATATACCCATGCATGGCTAGCCTTACTTGGCTCTTTCTGCACCCTGGAAATCATGAACTCATAAGCAGCTGTCTCTGACATAAGTTGAAGCCATTCCTTGATTTCTGGTCTATGTGGGCTCTTCCATTTACGAAGAATAATTCTGGCTGCTACTAGAAAACCTGTCATCATTAGTCTACCTTCAGCTTTTGGGATGCCCTCTGGCATCAATGACTTGTCTCCTAAAAGGCAAAATTGTGCAGACTCTGGTAGAGGTTGACTAAGCCAGTCCTCGAATTTTTTCAAGACCTCCTTCCAAAAGGGCATTATCAAGGGATAACGCCATAATGCATGGAGAAATGTGGCAACCTCTTTATTACACTTCCAGCATTTGTTATCCTTTATTAAACCCATTCGACATAACTTACTTGGTGTAAAATAATACCTATGTACAATTTTGTTGTGAATAAGTTTATTTCTTGCGTCCCTTGTAGCCCCTCCCACGTTTGAGATAATATTTTCCCGCACAGCGTCATCAATGTCTGTATCAAGGTCTTTCTGCCAGATAGTTCTTAGATTTTCACACATTTTTGTTTGGGTTTTTGACATTTTGTTACAGAAAGCAGAGGCAGAGCGTAAGTGTATAACAGGCGGAGCATTAAAAAACTCCTGCAATAGATTTTCGTCTTTATTCTCTCGTCTTAGACCAAAAACAGTTCCTACTGAACTTCTCAACAGCAGATACCTCCAGAAATCCCCTTTGTCCGTTTAGTTAAATTGTTGTTTAAGTTCCTCAAAAGACATGAATGTTTGATCTCTATATAGATCTAATGGTGTTATCATTTAGCTAAAAGTAATGGTAGTAACGCGGTATGGGGGGTGGGTGGGGAAATGGGGGGCATTCCTTCATTCATGCCATTTTTCCAAAACTGTTTTGCTGTTTTCCTTTTTTTCTTTAACTCTTCTTTCAGTTTTCCTATTTTCCTCCTTCACCTTTTCTATCAATCTATTTTTCATTTGAACTCTTGTAATATTCTTCCTGTTTTTTTCCATCTATCCTCCATTAAACCTTATCTGTTCTAATATGCAAACATAATTATATTCC